TACAATATAAGCAAGGATGCAATCTTAAAGTGGTAAAATTACATTTTTTTCCCCCCATTTCACCTGAAGTCTGAATGCTTCCTCCACTTAGTAAAGAGTGAACATGTGAAAAGGGGGAGAAAGAGAGAGAGAAGGGATTGCCGTCGCCCCGCCCTCCTGCGCGTCCTCCCCGCCCAGCTCATTACAGATGCGGCCACCCAGCGGACACTTTGAAGTCTGCCTGTTGTGATCAGTGAGCTGCTGAAGTCCGGACCGAGAAGACACGCAGCAGTGGGGACGTTTCCTCTCAGCACTTGGAATAAAAAAAAACCAACAACCTTTTTTATGCTTTTAACCAGAAGAGACACCGCGTTCCCGTCTTTACGCACCGTTTTTACGCACTGCAACAAATGGAAACTGGAGTAGGAGACTTGAGATGAAGATGCTTCAAACGAACTGAGAGCTCCGTCCTTCGGGACATTTAAGGACGTCCAGCTGTGTTATTTATTTTTTATATTTGTGTGTGTGTGTGTCTTGGTGGCTGGCGGGGGGGGCGGAGGCACATGACTGGGGATGACAGATTTAATATTTAAACATCACATTTAAACACTATTTTGGACAAAAAAAAGAAAGAAAGAAGTAACGCACGTCTCCAAAGCGCAGCGCCCTTTCTCCAATGAAATATCTCCCCGCTGCGGATCGAGTAAGTAAGCGGATCAGTGAGACCAGCGACGGTACAGAGCCTCGTCCCGGTGCTGTGGTCTCTTTGTTGACCCCTCTGGATCCACTTCGGCAGGCAAAGCGGCTTCCTATCCGAGTTATCAAGATGTTGACTGCGCACACTGGACACTTGCTACACCCGGAATATTTACAGCCTTTGACGTCCGCGCCAGTGAGCATTGAGGTATTTATTGTATTTTTAATTTATATTATGTAGAGAGGAGTGCTTGTACACACTGCAGTGGGGTTAACATATAGATCTTTTTTTAATGTATTGCTGTGTCATCTGTTGTGAAAATAAATATAAATCATGATTTAAATTCCTCTGTAGGAAGGAAACATGCCTCTGACCTCTGAGTATCATACAATCATATAAACCCACTAAAGTAATAACAGCTTAGTGTTTTAACTGGAACTAATTGATTAATAGCTGATAATAGACAATTAATAATCAACTTTTAGTAGTAGGGCCGCAACTAATGAGTGTTAATCACTGAGTTGTCAAAAGAGACCAACTGATGCCTTCAAATGTCTCCTTTTGTTTTAACCAAAAAGTAAAAACCCTCACAGATTGAACAGTTTAAATTCATATGTGGCAAAAGAAAATCCTCTTATTCTGAAAATATTTGGCATTTGTTCAACGTTCATTAATCATTTGAGTTCTTAAAAAAATCAATTTGAAGACATCCTCTTGGATTCTGGGGAATGATTTGGGGCATTTCTTAGCTTCTCTTTATGGACAAAATGATTAATTGAGGAAATAGCTGTCAAATTAATTGCTAATTAAAGTAATCATAAGTTGCAGCTCTTGATCAAATTCAGTAAATATGAATAGTTTAGAGGCCTACAGATGAGCACAGAGGACTAACTGTTCCTGCATGAAAGAGCTAATCAGAATATATATATCTTGTTGTAGCTGGATGCCAAGAAGAGTCCACTGGCCCTCCTGGCACAGACCTGCTCTCAGATTGGTAAACCAGACCCTCCGTCCTCCTCCAAGCTGGGCTCCTCCTGCAGCCAGGGGGACAAGGAGCCCAGCAGTCGGTCGTCCAGCCTGAAGCTTGGCGAGCACCGCCCCTCCCTGGAGGATAAGTGTAGCTTCAAGCCGTACAACAAAAGCAGCGGAGACAGTCGCAGAGACGGAGTCACCAGCAGCAGCTCCAACAGCAGCGATAAGGTCGGGTTCAGGGTACCCAGCAATAATGTTACCACTAATGGGAATTCAACCACTGGCCTGCAGTCGTATCCGCCCCACGCTGCTTCACCCGGCTCCAGAGCCAGCAGCGGCACCCCGCCAGGACATGCTCAGCAGCCGCCGCCGCCACCGCTTCACAAACAGAGCCACTCTCCTGGTGGACGGCCCGCGTCCCGGACTCCAAGCGGAGAGACTGCACACGAGCAAGGCAGTCCTACCAGCACGAGCGGCGGTAGCAATCATCCCAAAAAGGACGGCGACATAAACAAGACCAGCTCGGACAGCCCGCACGACGCGAACTCCAGCCACGTTAGAGCCAGCGCGAACTGCAGCAACGGCAGCTCCGACACCGGCTCCACCCACGAGGGGGGTAAAGCAGATTCCGCCCAGACGAACCTCGTGCCCGGACGCATTACACCCATTTCTCCTTATAAGACAAGCCAACCGCTCTTCCCCCTGCCCTCCTCTAATATGGGCTACCACGGATCCGTAGTGGGGGCATACGCTGGCTACCCGTCTCAGTTCCACCCTGGGTTGGATCCGACAAAGCCGAGCCTCAGCGTGGGAAGCATGGGAAAGCACCCGAGCTCCAGCCCTCTCACGGGTGCCTCCCCTCCTTCCTTTATGCAGGGTTTATGTCGGGACCCTTACTGTCTAAGCTATCCGAGTGTGTCCCATCTCGGCGGCAGCAACTGCAACTCCTGCATCCACGACCCGTCCTCCACGCTCAAGTCAAACTTCCCGTTGGTGTACCCCTCCCACCCGCTCCACTCCCTCCACCAGAGCTCCCTCTCGTCCAGCGTGACCTCCTCCCTCTCGCATCCGCTCTACACGTATGGCTTCATGCTCCCCAACGACCCCCTGCCCCACGCCTGCAACTGGGTCTCCGCCAGCGGGCCCTGCGACAAACGCTTCGCCACGTCAGACGAGCTCCTCGCTCACCTGCGCACGCACACGTCTCTGCCCGTGGGAATGGACAGTAAGCTGCTCTCTGTTTCCTCCTCTGGACCCGCCTCCTGCCACCTTCACCTCCCCCACCAGAGCAGCCCAGGCTCCATGCCAGGCTCCCTCTCCCTCAGGGCTCCCCCCAGCCTGGGTTTAGCTCGCTATCACCCTTACAGTAAGGTCCATCTGCCCCCTGGACCTTCCCCCATCTCCCTGCACTCTCTGCCCACCACGGGCCCGTACTACCCTCATTACGCCCTCTACAGTCAAAGACTTGGATCTGCGTCTGCGTTGGGCTACCAGTGATACAGCATCGCCTCACCCGTTTAAAGGAATGGTTCGACCTTTTGGGAAAATATGCTTATTCGCTCTCTAGTGGCGAGTTAGACTGGGATGCGACTTGATGCCGCGATCTGGCTTAGCTTAGCCTAGCACAAAGACTGGAAACGGGGGGAAACAGCTAGCCGGGGACTCCAGGAAGTTACAGCTCCCAGCCAGGAAATAGTCCGGCACATAACTCCTACAGATTAAACAAATTAATTTAGGAAGCTTCAGAGGTGCTGGACAGAGCCAGGCTAGCTGTTACCCCCTGTTTCAAGTCTTTGTGCTAAGCTAAGCTAACCTGCAGCTGCTTGTAGCCTCATATGTAAGAATACAGTTTATTTATAGAGGGCTTTTTTAACTCAAAGACACTTAAAATGAAATAAATAAATATACAAGGTATCATTCCTCTCGTCTAACTTTCCGCCAGAATGCCAATAAGCTTGTTTTTTTATATTTAAAAACGTCAAACTATCTTTTAAGTTTGTACTTAATGGCGGCAAGTTGCTGCTGTTTCTTCAGACTGGATTCAAGTGGAACTTTGTGCAAAGTCCTGGATTTTTTTTTTGTACTTGAGTGTATCTTCACACTTTCTTTACACGTTATATATGATAGATTTGGCATTTTTTTTGTTTTTTTGTTTTTTTAAATTAGTGCTCCTGAAGATCAGAGAGGACACGAGTGGCTCTCGCATGTCTGCACATTGCCTCGGATACTTTTTCAACAGTCTGCGACTGCCCTTCGGGTGACTTTTGCTGCCCTGTGGGCTTGGCAAAATTGATGGTTAGACCGTAATAGCACTTGGATGTTCAGGTTACCGCTGAAATGATGGTGATTTAGTGCGGAAAAATGTAGTGTGGCGGCGGCGGCGGCTGGCGTAGGGTGGTGGGAGGGGGGGGTGGCAATAAGCTGCAGCCGTGGACTGATGTGAAGTCTGACCACAGTCGCTTTCTCCCTGCAAGAGATGCATGTAAGCTTGACACAGCAACTGTTTCTCCTTCCCCCTGATGGTTTGTGATGGTTTGTTTTGGTTCCTTATGTTTTTTGTTTATTCCTACTGAGAAGTTGTATTTATTTTTTACCCGGGAATCTGGCCCCTCATCGTTTTACAGTTTAAATCAAATCCCCATTTTACAGACGTTGTGGGAAAAAGCCAGATGTTGAAATATGTCTTCACACTTGATGAATGTTGAAAATCACATCTCTCT